ACGTGAAACTTAAATGGCACGTGAAAGTGACGTGTAAGTCATTTTTGCGTGAATTTTGTCAAAGGCCACCAACAGTTATGATCAGGAAGTCCAGGTCTTCTGGCTGGTTCAATTTTGAAGTTACAAAACCGCGTGCGTGAAATTTTCACGTGTTCGTGCATGAGATGCAGAAGAGCTGACAAGTAATTTACTTTCGCGGACACGACAGTGGCGACAAGTAACGCTGCAGAATTAGCTTATCGGTCAGCTTAAATCTGGAGTTGGCATTATGCCAGCTTAAGCTTTGACGTCTGTGTACGTGAGGCCTGAGGGTGCGTGAAGGCTGAATTTAAAATCTTTGGATTAGGCGCGGCCAAGGAACATCTCTGTGAAGTTCCAGCCTCCTAGCATGGGCAGTTCCCGAAAACGCTTTCCTGCCAAAAAAACTTCCACGTGCCCATACGTGAGAACCAGCGAACCTGGGCGTCCATTTTGAGGATACGAGCCCACACGTGTGTGCAGATTAAGACACCAAATTTTCAGCCTTGTAGCTTTTGTGGATCTCGAGATGAAAACTCCATACGAACACACAGATACAAATACACACATATATACACACATGCAGACAATCCCTCGACAATATGCATTTTTGCATTGCATAGCTGCGAAAAACGCACAGTTAGAGACAGTTACAGAAAAACCACGGCAACTAGTTGACTTTCCATTAAAATTAACAGCATTTTTATATATTATGAGTTTTTTGCAGCTATGCAATGCAAAAACGCATATTGTCGAGGGGTTGTCTGTGTGTGTGTCTGTGTGTATGTATGTATGTGTGTGTGTCTGTGTGTGCGTCTGCAACGAGTTTTAATCTCGATATCCACAAAAGCTACAAGACTGAAAATTTGGTGACTTAATCTACACGTACGTGCACGCCCGTATCCTCAAAATGGACGTTTAGGTCCGCGTGGTTCTTACGTAGGAGGCATGCGAAAGTTTTTTGGCGGGGAAGAGCTTTCGGGAACGGCCCATCCTAGGAGAGTGGAACTTCACAGAGATGTTCCTTGGCCGCTTCTAATTCAAACATTTCAAATTCAGCCTTCAAGAACCCTCAGGACTCACGTACGCACCCGTCAAAGTTTAAACTGTCATCATGCCAACTGCAGACTTAAGCTGTTGATCAAGAGAGCTGCAGTTCTGCATCGCCCACTGTCGTGTCCGCGAAAGTAAATTACTTGTCAGCTTTTCCGCGTCTCATGCACGAGCACGTGAAAATTTCACGCACGCGATTTTGTAACTTCAGAATTGAACCAACCAGAAGACCTAGACTTTCTGAGCATAACTGTCGGTGGCCTTTGACAAAATTCGCGCAAAAACGACTTACACACCACTTTCTCTTACGTACGTTTCACGAGTACACACGTGAAATTTGACGTAACTCGGCAATCAGAGCAACTGAAGTGCTGAAACTTTCTGAGCGTTACCCAGGATCGTGTTTGAGCAAATGCGGGCAAAAAAAGCATTTACTTTGCCACTCACGTACAAACACGTCAAATCTGACACAACTCTGCAACCAGAGTAGCTTGAGTGCTGAAAGTTTCTGAGCGCTGCGCAGGATCGTGTTTGAGCAACCGCAGGCAAAGAAATCACTCACGTTGCCACTCACGCACGAACACGTGAAATTTGACGCAACTCCGCAACCGAAGCATTCAGAGCGCTGAATTTTTTGGGCATGGATTGGGAGTCATTATAATAATTTCTAACAGTGTGGTGGCCAGTCCCAGCTCTTTTAGCTAGAAGCATCTGCCGGGAAGAACGTACCACTGACGAAAATAAATCTGCGGGGGAACTGTGCAAAAAACGTATCCTCGTACCGGCAGCCGGTACGCTTTCGACTAAGTTTCCTTCTAGTAATGCAATTAGTGGCGGTGTAGGTATTTCATGCTAGTGGGAACAATAATGGCGTTGCTATTCCAGGATTGAAAGGCCTGGAATAGCAGCGCCATTGGGATCCTATACCGCCACTAACATGGCCATCATTATGTTCGTGGTATTTTTACATTTCTGTAAACTCTTAAACATCAAGGAATCAGAATAGCCTACGATTGCCAGGGCTACCCAAATAATCACCGTGAAGGTGCTTTGTTAGTCGGGATACTTGTTTACGCTGAACGCAACTGCTACCAGAACATTTTGCCACAAGCTCTATGTCTCTTCAGCAATATTCACCTAATGTCCTATGGATGTGTATCATTTCCTGGGGG